CCATTCATTTGAGTTTGTTTATGTGCCATGACAAAAGCTGCTATACTAGCCCTCCATTTGAGATTTCCTTTTTGTAATCGCTCCTCATGAGACTTGGGGTTTTATCTTTTAGTCCAAATGGGCTTGAGATTTTCAGACAAAAAAAAAAGGGGGCTTGGGATTCTACATGTTCTCAATGGATTTTTGTTGAGTGCTTCATAGGGGTGATCGCGTTAATTAAATGTCAAATCGACCAAACCGGCCCGACCCAATCCGAGTTGGTCGGTTTTTTAAAGCCACCAATCGGTTTCGTTTTTGTATGAAAAAATAAACCAACAATTCGGTTTAGTTTCATGAAAATCGAAACCAAATTGAACCAAACTAATCCCATATATTTAACTGTTTAAGTAATTATTAATTAGTCCTTACCCTATATGTTAAAGGTTGATATATTTTATTTGTGTTTGTTTGAATTTTAAAAAAATGGTTTAAAAACGTAAAACCAATACAAATATAATACAATGGTACAATATTTAATTTGGTTTTGTATAAATTTAAATATATATTGACAAAAAAATCAGTTTTGCATAAAAAACTAATTGATTTAAACATATATTTTAATTTTGCATAAAAACTAAAAATAAACAAACTTAAATATAAATAGATATTTTAGTTTAAAATATACATATATATATATATAAACCGACTAAACTGATAAACCGACTTTTCATGTTTGGGTCGGTTTTGCTTCAGGGTCAGTCGGTTTCAGTTTAGTCAATAAGTAAATCGACTAGGTCGGGTCGGTTGATGAAAATGACTCAAACTGACCCGACCCAACCCGTGAACACCCCTAGTGTTTCAGGAGTGCCACCGCCTCTTACTTTTATTTGCTTTTGTGATTTTTGGGACAAGTTATCTTTATCTTGTGTAACACAATTTTTTTGATTTATAAAAAAAAATATGGATTTGATATATTGGGGGGTTGATTGGTAGTGTAGTCATTTATTGAAGAAATCTTTTGTATAAAAAATGATAAATGTTTATTATTATTATTTGACCATTAGGTGACATTAGACTCTTTTAAGCATCGACATCACATAAGTTGAGATTTAAATAAATGGCTAGGTCTTAGGGGAAATATTAAAAATGACGGCATTTTCTCAAACAGTTGGCTCCCACAAATTAAGACAAACATTTATCTAATAAACGTTTTATTAAATAGCATTTTGGAATAAATACCTATGTGGCAGAGATGAATTGGCTCTACTTTTCAAATAAATAGCCTCAAAACCAAACACCATATTAGATTGGAGGATGAAATAAGAAATATTATTTGTATATTTTATTTATTTTCTTTTTTTAAGGGTTCATTTAAAAGAGGATATTAGTAAATTTGATCATTAAAAACAATTAATATGCCCTAACTAGACAACTTCTGTTAATGGTTACTTATGATTGCCTGATGGAAAGAAAAGTGTGAGCTAACAAAAATTCTCTACTGGGGATCTTTTTTGGTTTTGAAAAGTTAAAATAATTTAAAGAGAAATGGATAAAAGAGAAAGAATGATTTAGATAATAACTCAAAAATTATTAGGCAAAGGAGCCTTCATGTTCCATCCACCTCAGCATAGACCTAAAAAAATCTAGACAGTGAATTCTAACCACATGGGGCCCTTTGATAGTGACTGAAGTGGCTGAACTGAACTACTTATTGCTTTGTATTTTGGTGCATAAAATAGTTAGATAATGAAATATTTAATGTAAAGGTGTATTACTCAACCTAACAATTAAAATGCTATTCAACAACTTGATGATAATTTCCACTAAATTGAACTATTTATTAATTTATCTTTTAGGCGAAACTTGCATTGAAATTGCTTATTCACTAAAAAGCAATTCAGTTAAGCCATTACCATATGTGCCTTAATATCTATCTGTTTATCTTATTCTACTAGTAATAATTGAAAATTAACAAAAGTAACAATATGATTAAAACTAAACTTAAATGCTTGTTGTAAATGTGCACATGCATTGCACATGGGAAATTTAAATTATAATAACACTTATTATTATTTTTGTTATTGTTATTGTTATTGTTATTGTTATTGTTAATTGTTATTGTTATTGTTATTGTTATTGTTATTGTTATTGTTATTGTTATTGTTATTGTTATTGTTATTGTTATTGTTATTGTTATTATTTATTATTATTATTATTTTATTATTATTATTATTATTATTATTATTATTATTATTATTATTATGATTATGATTATGATTATTAACTCTTTCTATTCCATTTCTATCATAAATAAAAAATATTTTTTATTTTAACAATTATGCTTATTTAATATGATGAATATAGAACATTAGAAATGTTTCCAAATATTTTCGACAAAATTCTACACTTTTTCATTTTTTGTGTTTAATCATTTTTAAATATTTATTATTCAATTATGACATCATGAGTTTCTTTGAAAAGTTGGACCATTGACCCACCATCTAAATAAGAAAATACCTTTTGTTTTTGGATTAGTTTTAAGTAGTATATTCCATATACATTATAAAAATAATTTATACTTATCATACTTAATTTTTGTTTGACATAATTAATATATATTCTTTTGATTACTTGTACTTTTTTTTAAAGATTTACTATTTAGCTATCATATCATTGACTAATCCATTTGATCAAAACTACTAACCCACCACTCAAAATGAAAAATAGTTTGATTTCTATGTTGATATTAAATTTTGTATTACATTTTCATCACTGATAAAATTATTTCTTATGTATAATACTTATTTTTGTTCAATATAATGAATATACAATATTAGATATGGACCCAATTTTTTATTTTTATAAATATATAACATTAGATATGTGCCCAAACGTTTCTTTATTTTTTAATTTTTGTGATTCTTTTTTTTTTATTTTTAAAAATTTTACTATTTGACTATGGCATCATTTCATTTATAGGTTGATTTTAAATTTGGCATTCTATTTTCCACATTAATAAGAACATTTCTTACATTTCATACTTGTCTTTGTTTAGTATATTGGATATGCAATATTAGAGATATGCCCAATTCTTTTTATTTTTATTTGTATTATATATTTAATTTATTTAATTATGATAATATATATTAACCTATTTGACCCCATATGGTAAAATTGCTTACCCACACCACTGGGAGGGAATAAAATGGTTTTGTTTTTAAATTCTTTTTTTTAATATTTATTTTTATACTATTAAAATTAATGTTATGGATTTAATTAGTAGAATTTAATGATGAGAAAAATATATCTTAAATATAGAATTTAATGAGAGAATATACCTTAGATATGAGATTTAATGAGTGAAAAAAGGAAAATAGTTTTATTTCCAATTAATTTTAAATTTTACATTCCATTTCCATCATTAATAAAATAATTTCTTATTTATCATACTTATTCTTGTTTAATATTTCAAATATATAATGTTAAAATTTTTCCCATTTGTTAATTTCTATATTTTTTGTATTTTATCTATTTTTAAATTCTATTATTTAATCGTGACAACATAGATTGTCCCACTTGACCCAAAATGATTTAATTTCTTACCACCATCTAGATGAAAACACTTTTTTTTCAATGTATATTTTAAGTATAAGTTTTTGTGTTATTGAAATTATTAATTTATTATATATGAATTTAATTAGTAGAATTTAATGATGAGAATAAACAAAAATGCCCTAAATATATGATTCAGTGAAGGTGAATGCAAGTTAATACCTTAAATGTTGGATTTAATGAGAGAGAGTTGAATGCATTGAATATCTTAAAATTACCTACTTTCAAGTCATTTAATATTAATAACCAATTATCTTATTTGCCTTTTTTTTATCAATAAATTTAAATATGGAGGAGTAAATTTTATCCTAAAAAAATCCAGAAATATTATTGAGGCTATTTATACTTTTTAAAATAGTATGGATTTAATATTGTTTATTCCTTTCACACTTAACTGACCCAAAAAGACAGAAATATTGTAATACAACACCAGGGTTGTTTGGTGGCCAAGTTTTCCATTGCACCGGCCGACTTTTGTTTCAGTTTGCAATACCACCGCGTTTGGTTCTGTCTGACCTCAGACAGTTCAGATGGGTCTGGGTCTATTTTTTGTTTTCTTTACACCTTCTCGTTGTTTCATTTGAAGATGAATGAGTCTACGAGATACTGATGTCAGCCATGAAGGATAAGGTGTTGACTGCGAACCCGGTTAACATGTGCGCCAAATCAGGCCAGGTTTGGCCGGGTCAGAATAGCCTTGATCCTCATTTTTCAAATCTTTCTGGATGCGTAGACCCGGATGAGGCCTGATGGACTTTGACAAATTCTCAATTCCCATACTAATGTCGAAAGCTACTTAAAAAACAGTAAATATTGTTCGGACCAGTCCCACTCCAATCATACTTGACACTTCCCAATCGTTGACTCATTTAACCCCGTCACCAAACAAGTCCCATCAACCTTCATTCATGATTCAACACCGGACCTCAACTAACTAGAAGCTACTCATAAGTCCGGTTAAATAGAACCTTCAACGACCGCATGAATTTCCAAAAGGCTCCACCGCACGATACAATTGATAATTAACTGCCAACCTTTGAATCTGGACCGTCGAGTCTCCCCCTTCCGCATCATCTACTCTAGTTAGGGTTATATACCAGAAGGTAGATTCCCTTGATGCACTCACCGTTGGATATTTTGACGATCCAATATATCAAATATGATTGATAGTCAACGGTCGAAAAGTCCTGGACGCCTAAATGACGAAAAGGCCCTTACCTGAACCGAATCACCATGTCCTGGCCGCGGAAATGGTAAATTCCGTTTCGAAGAATCCCAAGGAAAAGGAATCCTTTATACTTTGTTTTTTCCTCTGAGTTCTGAGTTTCTCTTCTACGGTTCAACCATAGAAAATTAAAAGGAGGGAAGCGTTCGTGGCAAGTAACCTCGCTCGTTCCCTTCCCGGTTCCCTCCTCCACTCTATTTAACTATTCGTTGCGGACTTCAACCGTTTTCCGTATCCCAACTTTCTCCAAATTACCATTCCTTCATTCCTTGATTCCTCTCTCTCTCTCTCTCTCTCTCTCTCTCTGCATCTTTGTTCATTTCTACAGAATCGAAGATCGTTAAAGCCATAAAGGTATGGAGAAATTTAAAAGGAACAAAAAGAAAAGAATCTGAAAGAGAACTCTTGAATCTTGGCTTCAACTTTTACTGTTACTTGATCTTATTCAATTCTACTGCAGGGGATTTCATCATCAAATTGAATTCTGGTGGGAAGCCTCGACTTGTCCCTCGGAGAATCACTATCCCCATTCCTCTACAAGGTTTGCTTTAAGTTCATTTTCTGAGAACTCTTTTTTTTTTTTTTTCCATTTCCTTTTGGTTCGAGAGAGAAAGTTGATTATACAAATTCGTTATGAGGTTTTGGTTATTTTTATGATCGAAATCCGGTGTTTTTTGTCGAATTCCAGTAAAATGAATGTGCAAGAGGAGCCGTCTAAAGTTTTTTATCTTCTGTTGTTTTTGGTTTCTGTTATTTGTACTATAGATTGTTTGAGTATATCGATTTGTTTTTTCTTATTCTCATCTGCTGAATTTCAAAATTTGAAAATTTATGGTGTTCTGTAGGATTGTAAGTGGCTGCTGTGGCATAAGAGGTCGAGATGTTGGGGGAAGTCATCAACAGAAGTCTTATGTATGTTAATATTTGTGAATTGTCTTCCTATTCTTCTTTTTCTCTACGGCTCTGCTTCTATGGCTCTATTTTCCATTTCTTTTTGTCTGGTTTTGTTAAGAAAAGAATTGCAAAAAAAATGTTGACTTGAACTTGGGATTGATTTTCAATTTTGGATATTAGGATGCTACTCGGATACGTATATCCTGCGTTCGAGTGCTTCAAAACTATGGAAAGGAACAGAGTCGAGATTGATCAGCTCCGGTTTTGGTGTCAATACTGGTAATATAATAAGCTTCTCTTGAGAACTCTTTCAAACATACTTCATTTTTCAGATTTGTCGAAGATACAAAACTTTCTTTCCCTAAATCTTAATTTGAATTCTCCCACTTTGGCTTCTCAATTCGTTTAATTAATTTTCGATTGGTTCAGTTCTTCTTTCTTGTTTGAACTAATTACCCAATTCGATTTGTAAAGAGAATGAGTCAAAGGAATCTACAGTATGAGGAAGATTAAAAAACTTAGGGTCTAAGTTTCTTCTGGGTGCAAAAAGTAGACTTTGATTTTAAATAGCAGTTGATGCTTATGGGTAATAACAGACAAAACAGGCCTAATCTAAAAACAAATCAACTAATCCACGGGATAAGTCCACCCTAAATGATTCTTTAATAATGAATGCTGAAACTTAATTAATTCAAGGAGGAGTTGAACAGTTATCCACAGTATAATGCCTAGACAGTTAGACAATGGCACACATATGGCCGGGGCTGGGACCTATACAGTTAATGTTAGAAAAAAGAAAATAATAGTTAATGATCAGAGAACAATCTCTATAGGTCTAGTCTAGTAATTAGTTTAACATGAACACCAGATTTTGCTTTATATTTTCTAGGTGATAGTGTTACATCCAACCAGTGTTTTTCAAACCGTTGTTGATCCGAACAGTTGGACTGTTTGGTCTGTTCCAACAGGTTCAATTTCACCTGTAACCCGTTCCTTGACCAAAAACTGTTGATTTGGTCAATGACCCACTGACCCGGGCAGTCGAATTGATGATCCATTTGACCCGGATAACAATTTATGACCGTTTTTATTATAAGTATTTTTTAATTTGACCCGGGGAATCGCTGACCCAGAAACCGGTGACCAGAACGGTTCCAGTTACTCGTCTGTTTTTAAAACATTGCATTCAATACATGACAGACAGAAGTTTGGACCCCATATTTTGCCAATTTTTCTTAGATGGGTCTCACCCTGACTTGATGATTAGTTGGGCCCCATACGGACCCAGGCCCGGGTCTGGGCCCGGATTATAACACTATCATAGGTGCTAAGACCTGTCGGGCCCGGTACACGATCACTCCTAATAAACTGGTCGCCCCCTCTCATAGGAGATTGGTTATCCCTACAATTTACAATAAGAAATTGAAAGAAAAGAAAAGAAATTATTGGTGGATTAATTGTGAGCATCAATAGTAATAGCACATTTGCACATCTAAGGATACAGGAAAGAGGACAAGTTGTTGATGAAAGCCAGTTCTAGTCCATGGATGATTGCTCTGAGCTCTGTTTCACTGCTTCTGTGAGCAAAATTTTCTTTACCTGCTGCTATCAGATCAGCTTGTTAGAAAAATACATTAAAACAACTGCCTGCTTGTGCCGTATTTTCTACAAAGGAGCCATCTATATTTAAGCTGAGACTTCTCTGTGCAAATGATGAGTAAATTACCTCTGCTGATAATACGGCTGTATGTGCCAGGTTATTTAACACCTCTGATTTTAATCGGGATTGATTGTTCTGCCCATATTGTATTCTTACATGCAATGGACAAGGACAGCTGAAGATTTTACTCTAGTCCAGTGAAAAGTAAAACTAAACCACTGAAGATTCTCTCTTTGTTTTTGAGTTAGATGAATGGACCTCATGGAAAGAGGACTCCTATGATAAGTGCGCTGGTGGGCAGGTTTGCCCAATTAGTATTCAGTAATTTTTTTGTATATATAATTAGTATTTAGTGCTTACTTTTAGGTATTGTCAAATGCCATGGACGATTCAAGAAAACCCTGTTTTCATGTTCGGCCTAAATCACTTGGCAAAGTTCATAAGTTTAACAGGAGGATTCACCTTTGGTTATGGATCAAATTCATATTCGGCCATCTAATTCACATGCTATCATTTTTAGCTTGAAGCCTTAGAATGCATAAACATGATAAAAAACAAGCAAACAAAAGAAATTTCTGAATTCATTACAATCTTGCTTGGATGGCCATTTTTTCAAAAGAATGCTGACCACCTCCATTTCAAAATCTTGCAGGGTCATTGTTGCACTCCTGACTGCTCTGGAGCGGGTCGGGGATGTTTTCATTTCATGGTACGCATTAGCTCTTCAATTTGTGTTAGATACTGAGATAGATATGCAGAATTGTTCTTATAATCACCTTTTCCTATCCTCTGTGAAGGTTACCCATGTATGGAGAGATGAAGCTGGCCTTCATAATCTACCTATGGTATCCAAGAACTATGGTAATTCATTTACACTCTCGATGGAACAAACCAAATTTATGCACTCTTCTGTGTATATTCAATTTTCTAATATCAGGAAAAATAACTGTAAATGCAGGGAACTAGTTACGTCTACGAAACCTTCTTGCGGCCTTTCATGACAAGGTACGAACCAGATCTTGATCAGAACATGGGAGAATTGAGGAGAAGAGCCTGGAATTTAGCTGTAATGCATTGGCACAACGTTGCTAATTTTGGAGAGACCACATTTGCTCAATTCCTCCAGTATTTGACCTCCAAGGCTAAAGGCAGTGAAGCTCCGGTACATCTTCTTTTCCTTTTCTGTTAAGAACCATCTAAGCCTACAGAGGCATGTTCCCCGCTCTTTACTCATCTCTACACCCATATGGGTTCATCCAGTGGACCACCCCATGGAAGACCAGAGACTGGTTTTACTCATCTTTCTACATCAAATTATAGAATTCAATCCTTGGACCACCCACAAATCAGGCAAGAAACTGATTTTACTCATCTTCACACGTCAAACCACCCTACTTGGCTCTGTTCAGTCAGTGGACCACCCTACTTGGCTCTGTTCAGTCAGTGGACCACCTAAAAACTCTTTCGCATAGGCTGTTGGCCTCAAACAGCCAAAGTTGACTCAAATAGACCATTGATGGATCTCTAAGCTCTAATTGAGCCACGTGGCTCCATGGCATCCATCCCTTTGAGGAGAAACAAATTCCTTTTTATTTCATTTCAACTTCATAAGAATTCAGAGAATTATATATCTGAACCATCCAATCTATGTGCATGGCTTGTCATCATAACATCCTCAAATTAGATTAGTTCTCGTACATTTCTTCTTCTGAACATGTTATACTTTTGCAGAAAATCGATCCACAGTACCCCAGTGCACCTCCTCTTAATTCAATGCCGAGCGCACCTCCTCTAAGTTCAATGGCCTCCAGCCATCGGCCGCCGCTGAGGCAACCTGGCAGGAACCGGTCGCCATCGACATCACCACCGCCAGCGTACCGCGCATGGTTCCCACAAATGGGTTCCAACACCAGCTCAGAGTCCGGTTATAGACAAGACGCCACCACCATTCACCAAACAGCTATGGATGAAACTCTTCGTAGACGGCCACGCTGAACCCAGAAGGAAAAGTGAAAGAAAATTGTAAAAAGAAAAAACACAAATTGTAACCCAAGGATTGTTCTTTTCTTCTTTTTTTCCAATTAATTACAGTTAATTCTTCATTTTTTTCTCTTTAGTTTGCATCTCTCTCCGCCTCTTTATATAAGAAAGGGAAGTTTGAACGAAAGTATAGGTACTAAATACACATTGAAAACAGAATCTATTTTGTCAATTACACAGAGATTCGTAACAGTCGCCGTTATCATCACCGATCACCCTCAGCGAGGTAGGTAGCTGCCATTACTAAAGTAGCCCTTCATGTCTCCATCCTACCCAAATGTTGCCGAGCAACCGATCAAAGACTCGCGTTATCCTTGGGATAATTTTCCGATTAATGAACCCAATACAAGCACTGACCGAATTCCTCAAGTACTCGCCGGAAAACTTGGTCCACATCCGCCGGAAGAAATGCCGGCCGGAGGAGTCCACGGGCGAAGACATGGGCTGGAGGTAAGCCCAGGCAGCCTGCTTGACGAGGCGGTTCTTGATGGAAATCTCATAGCCGGACTGAGAACCGGGGCCGGTCGGAGACTGGACTACTGCGCCAGGGGATGAAGGCATCAAGTCCCTTAAGGAAGTATAAGTCTGTGATTGTAAAGAAACAAGCTCGAAATCGTTGGGCAACGACGACGACTTGTCACCGTTGGGAAAGCTTGAGCTCAACACCGGGGGGAGATCGAGCTTTATAGGGAGCGAAGAAGCTATCGAGTTCCTCCGCCGGAGTGTTGACGAAGTGTCTGGTTTGATTGACCCCATCGATATAAATGGAACAGAAGAATAGAACCCCACAGACAGACAGAGAGAGAGAGAGAGACAGAAGAGGTTTGAAGAGATTTCACCTGGTTTGTCTCAACCTTCTTCAGTTGGGACCTACTCACTGGTGGAGAATCCGTCAGACATGGTTTCTGGGTTCTGGCTTTGTGCTGCCTGCTTCTCTCTCTTTTGCTGTTCGCGTTTTGCTTCTGCTCGGTCGTTTCTCTTGCAATTATTATGGAGAATGGAGTATATACCATGTAGAGGCGTCATTAATCATTATTATGTTCACGAAATCACGATTTGTAAAATAGAGCAACTCACATGTTAAGCTCATCAAGACCATTCAACCAGTGGTCCCACCCCCAACCAAAATCATGGTCACTTGATAAATATCAACCATATTCAGTCTGACTTGAGACTTATGAGGTTTGTCGAAACGAAAACGTGAGTTTTAATTGTTTGAATTGAATGATCAACCATCAATAAGATTGCTAGATTCTAATCCAAGCGACAAATTGATTTGGACCAGTATTTATAAGACAGTGGATGTATGCGATATGCTATTATCACTGTGGTTACATTTGAATTGCCACGTGTCAAATCAAGAGGCGACTATAGAGTCATTCTTGTTCTTTCACACAGTGAATTCACGTTTTTTGCGCCAATAATCTTCCGTCATTCAAGGCCCACACTTTTTTTAAATCTTTTTATATATTTCACGTCAACGGCTAGCTTAAAGCCTTGTTTGTTCCTGTTCACGCTTGTGCTTTTCTACATGAGCGATGATTCAATGTGCATTCCCATAGTTATTAGTGAGCTCACAACCACGTGGAAGATGATTTGGTAATTAAGATTTGATGAATGATCTTTAAATCTGCCACGTGGCAACGCTAATCTGAATAAAATATAGTTGACCTGTTTATCCAACTACACTTGCCAGAGTTTGTCCTCACAATTTAGTTGAGAGTTGTGACCACTTCTTCTGGGGGAGGCTATTAGTAGATTATGAGGGACTGTAATTTCAGATTTCTGAGCTGGAACGCAGTTTATTATCTCAAAAAAATTAAACCCAATGATATTGTAGACTACTAGGTGAGGTGTGAGTAGGGCTCATCATGGGTTGCACCAGGCTTTGCAAATTGCAATACACTAGGCTTGGGCTAAGCCCGGTCTGGGTTCGGACCTGAAACATAAACCCTACACGGGCCTGGGCTGAGCCAGGCCTGATTCCAGCCCTTTGTCTTTTATATATAAAATATAAAAATTTTATAGCAAATGCTATATAACATATATATAAATTTATTTTATATATTATATAATAATATATAATATTATAATATTATATAAAATATATAATATATCATAAAGTAACACACATACATACATATATGTATATATATGCCTTATATCTAAAATACATATATTTGAATATATAACTGGGCTGGGACCGGGTCAGACTTAAAGCATTAGGCCCAGGCCTAACCTTGAAATTTGTGGGCTCAGGACTAGCATGGGCATGAACATAATACCTAGGCCCAATCCCTGTGTGAGTGTTTTCAATCCAAATCAAACCAAACCAGTAAGAGCCAAGTTTGACTTGTAGATGGAGAGGATTAGAGCACAGAGGAGTCGGTGTTTGTGTTGGAATCTTCAATCCTTTTCGCGAAGAAATGGACTAATGGAGAGACTGAAAGTAGCGCTTTTACCTTTTCATGGTTTAGCTTTTGAGGCCTGGCCCATTCTTTTGAATTTACTGTGGCTTTTGTGGCGTAGGCACGGCTGGTGGGACTGGGAGCATCAAAGTATCAAGCATTCAACGCCACTGATAATTTAAGAGGGGACTCTTTCAGTGTTGTGAGTTGGTGTCACATGACAAGACAGGCCCAGTAGTTACAAATTGGGGAGTTCTAACTAGCCACGTGTCCCATAAATTGGAACAGGATTGGGGCAGGGTATATCTATAATGCCGGAAACATATGATACAAGAAAAGCTTTGGTCGATCAAAACACCCTCCCCATCAATTCTGAGGAATATTAATGGATTGGCTACTATTTTTATGACAGGGGTTGATTGGTTTATCAACTTTTTTAGTTGTCATACTTTTTTCCCTATTATAGTTGCGGATTCACAATATTTACAATGGTGGAAAGATAGGATACAGGAAGAATCGGGATGGGATCAACTGCCTATAGAGCGCGCGCCCCACAGGTGCCCCACAATCCATCGCATTCATGCATTGAGAGTATCTCCTCATGACAAGCACGGGAGATGTTTCCAGTGCACGTTGGGGATGGGCTGTGGGGCGCGAACTCTGTGGACAGCCGATCCGATCACTCCAGGTTCACCACTTTTATGAGTCAGTTTTACCCAAAAGCCTTCCCACAACCCAATTCACATGCCATTAGAGCTACACGCTGGAAAGAGATGGTAGGTAGTAGAGCCACACGCCTTTTATGATATCAATTGATGGGTAATACTTGGCTCCTACCATCGTTAGATGAAAGTGTCTGACCATCTACTATTTTTTAAATTTAAACACTGACCCTAAACCCTGAAGTCTAAATTGTAAACTCTTAAACCCATAATTCCATAAACTATAACATTAAATCCACAAGTTAATGTGTAAAATGCCTCTGGTCAGACGCATTTTCTCCAAGGAGCAAAGCATTTTCCCCTCTTGATTGGTCATCAGTTTTTCAGGTGTCATGCCTTTTTGGTTTCGACTTTGAATTTCCTCCTCAAAATTTGGATTTCACACCCCTTGCAGCTGCATATCAGAAATATCTCTGTACTTTTTTTTTAGAGTAAATAAGTATATATTAGCAAAAAGATAAGGAAATGCAGTAAACAAAAGAAGGCTGAGAAGAGTTTTAGCAGCCTTGGATATCGCATGAGTTGTTGAGTTATATTTTCTATTTACATGTACAAAATAAACAGAGTTCAGATTGTTTAATAACTGCTTCGAGTGTTCAAAAAGCCAATGGCATGTCCATGGATAGTCTTGTTTTTCTTTAAAAAAGCAGATTGGCTGGAGAGAATCCGAGCATATGCAGACTTTTTCAAATGCCCAATACTGTAATTCCTTAAGAGCCTGCAAAATAGCAAATAATTCAGCTTGTAAAACAGAATCGACTGATAAAGTGTGACCTCCTAAAATTTTATGCAAGATAAATTCCGAGAGGCAATAACGACTGCAAAGGTGTAAACAGGAGCCTGGGTTATGCTTGGTCTGTGGTTTTCAACCGTACCTGAAAGCTGGTATACACTCCTAATAGTCTTTGCCAGGCGAGGAGGATAGACATTTTGGTTTTGAAATTATTTCTCATTTCTGGCATACTAAATATAATACCACTAACCAAGATAAAACCTGTCTAAACAAGATTTTGTCAGTTAAAATATTATAGAGTTGTTTCAAATTTGCCACCACAGAGTTGTTAAATAGGGTTTGGAAGTGTAAGTTCCAGGGGTTAGAGAAAAGCACATTTTGAGAGAAATGGCTGGTGATAAAGAGGTGGTTAAGAGATTCAGAGATTACAACATTTCTGAGAAGCTTCCAAGTTTAGATTCTGTTTGACTGCGATCATGTTGTTTAGGACTCTCCAGATGAACAGCTTGTATCTAGGGGCAATGGGCAATTTCCAAAGATGAAAAAGGCAAAATTTCAAGTCAGCATCTATGGTAGGGATCAAAGGCTGAAGCAACTTCTGATAATTTCTTTTAACAGAAAATTTACCCGATGAATGACGTAGCCAAATCCAATGAAAATAATTGTTTGAAGGGTAAATTGGGGTTTGAAGAATTTGGGAGGCCATTGCTTCCAAGAAACAAGAACTCACTAGGTTATGATTCCAGGAGCCATTCTAAAAGAAAGAAGCAATATTGAGGTTAGAGAGTTGACAAGGGAGAGGCTGAGGGGGCCAGAAAAACTGCCCACCTGCTTGGATCCAAGGGGAAATACCTCTCTACTTGTATGTTTTTATTTATGGGGATATATATCAAATGCATGGCTGCAAGGGCTGTGAGGACCAATTTTGTGAGGAGGAAATATGATTTCTTCGGTCTCACAGTTTGACTCTTTATTTTGGTGCATAGATCACAAGAACATGCCATGTTTCTAGGTGCAAACTACACATAAATTTGAGGGATGTGCATTGCTTTCTTATATTAGCTTGTAAATCCCTTCCCCTTTCGTTTTTGTTAAAAATAAATTTCACCACTTTCCTCCCCTTTTAAAAAATAAAACTACACATAATTCCACTCGTTTAACTTGATGAGGATATATTATTTCAATATTAAAAAGGAATTGCTTATGCTGATGTACCCAATCATTTCGTCCTCTTGAAATGCTTTACCTAAAACCAAACAGGTTTTAGGTGTGGAATTTTCTTGCACTAAGATGCCCCTATTTTTTTTTCATTTAGTCTCTCACTCTCTCCCTAATTGTAAGGTTTATAATGTAATTTGAATTACTACTTTTCACTTCAATTAATTCTCTCATCAAATCTTATATTTAATGTACTTTCTATTAATAAATTCTACTTGGTAGGTCAATATTTGTTGAAGAATAGGCATGTCTTAGCATAGAAGCATCACATCAAGCTCTATGTATAGCTCAAATTGATCTGAGTTGAACGACTCCTATCCTACACTACCTACCTAAGATTAGGGTCCAAACTCAGAAGATTATGTGTAGATTACTGTTTATTGATGACAAGTTATACAAGAGATTGTTCACATCACCCTACCTGAAGTGCCTAAGACCTGAAGAAAGGAATAAATCCTCACAAAAATACACAAAGGCCTTTGCATAAACCACTTGGGAGGTAGGTCCTTGGGCCAAAAAACTCTGAGGTAGGGGTATAGGGATACTTTTGGTCCACAATGAAGGTAAACAGTTTGAATCATCTAAAAGTTTGACCAATGCCAGAGACACAACAATGTGTTGTCCTAGCCCAAACTACCCTTACTTTAATCAGTAATACCTGACCTTTTACTCAATGGGAAATGGACATCATTAAACTGTTCCCACTGGGGCCTCCGGCAAAGAAAGTTTTTTATCATGACAATTGATTATTTCACAAAGTGGAACAAGGTCAAGCCATTGACAGAGATCATGACAAAGAACATACAAAGCTTCTTCTGGAATATCATTATCTGCTACTTTGGCCTCCCTCCAAAATTGATTATGGACAATGGTTGCCACTCGTCAATTCAATGACTCAAAGTTCATGGGCTTCTATGTTCACCTTGGAGTGAAACAATGATTCACCTCAATTGGTTATGCCAAAATTAATAGCCAAACCAAGGTGACCAACAAGATTATACTACATAACTTGAAGACTGGACTTGATCAAATATGTCATTGCAATAATCAAACTTAAAAAAAAATGGCTATTTAGTTTCTACTATTAATAGTCCGTCAATTATCTTATCACGTGATAACATGTGCAACTTAATTTTTTTTAAAATGTCAAAACTACCCTTGAAAACAAAACAATGTTCATTGTCTTTTACCTTAAGATTGAACCATAATAACATTAAGCCATTGTTGGATTGACTTGATGAGAGAATAGAGGACGTGAATTGATGAATTCGGTGGAGGAAACAAAAGAACAGGGGTTATACTTAAACCTATTATCCACAATTTCAACTGTCGATTCAGATGCTTGCCTCGCAGTAGTTCTCAATCAATGAAGCTCTAACACCATTTATCTTCTTTCTCTGCATTGGCACTAACAATCTTAGCCTTAGAATTGGGAAATCTATTCTTAGACACCAATAGTTACCGAAAATGGATTTTCAAGCCAGAGCCAACAAACTCAAGTTGAAGTTCACAGCTAGGGGTGGCAATGAGTCTAACTTTTCACAAGCCATTCGAGCTCAGCTCATTAAAAGCTCAACTCAGCTTGATTTAAACTGAGCTTCAAGCAAGTTCAAATCAAATAAAACTCGATTCGTGAGGCTCGTGAGTCTAATCGAGCTTCTACATACATACATACATAATATTTTTATTTTTATATATAATAATAATAACTAATTATTATTATTTAATTTAAATATCAAATAAAAGGTAAATTTCATGTCTATCTAACTTAGCCGAACTTAAGCTCAAGTCGAGCCTCATAATGTTTTGACGAGCCGAACTCCAATAACTAACTATTCAGCTCGGCTCGCCTCAAATCCACCCCTATTCACATCCTTAGACACCGACATTAGTGTACTGGTTCAGAGAAGAGAGAGCTATACAACCTAGTTAAATGTGAATGTAGGATGCTTGCCGGTGAGATAGCTTTAAATTTGACAGAGCCTAAGCCAAAAGATATGACCTCCACAACGGTCTCTGCTTCGGTTTGATAGCAAGGGAGTTGTGATGGTTGGGACGAGCTCATGAGATCCAAGGAGCCTGATTGTAGAAAAAGAAAGAGAACAAATGGTGAAGGCGGTAAACAGGGCGTCAGTCCGGTGGAGGAATCAAGACACAGGGGGGAGCTAGGGCGTTTTTGTTGATAACCTAGGCCTTGCTGTGTATGCGGGAATCAAAAGAGAATGAGAAAGAGAGTGGAGGAGAATGATTCTGAAGACAGATCGATGGAGGAGAGGAAGATAAACGAATCACCGTTGATGGAGGTTGCTGCGGTGGTGGTGGCTTTACTGATGATCAACTGTGCCGACAGGGAGTTAGGGTACCGGCTGGTGAGAAATATTAAAAGGAGGAAAATGAGAGGAGGAGAGAAATGCAGAGCAATGAAAGGAAATGAGAGGGGGGTGGCCAAAACTGAGAACAGATTTGGGAGAGATGAAGAACGTAGGGGGGGAAAGAGAAAAGAACGGGGCAGAGGAAGAGAGGGGGATTGGGAAGTTTGACGCTGCCGGAATACCAGATAGGAGATCGTCGCCACTGTTTGGAGTTTCAAGAGCTTGGGGAAAATGAACAATAACCTTCGATAATTTAGATTGGCAAGGATTCAACAACCACTCAACCCCAACGACGATGATGTGGGACTCAATAATAATTGCAACTACAGAGTCGGTTAACAACGTTAACCGTTTTAAACAAATTTGACACTTTTTGAAAATTTGATCACTGTAATAACACGTTTGAAAGTTGAGTATTAACTTCTTGAAGGTATTAAAGTAAAATTTTCCCTATTTTTAGTCCCGATAAGGGAGATGGATCAGGTGGCAATATTTAAGGCTGTGTTTGGTTTGAAAGAGAAAATAATAAAAGGAAGAAAAAGATAAAAAACCTTTAGTTTTCTTAGTTTTTCCCTACCTTCTTCTTTCTTTCCCTATTTTTTTCCTCAAACCACACATAGCCTAAGGGTGAGGTAAACCCGACCCGTTGCATAGTTTATTATCGTATTAAGACTGAAGTCAATCAACCCCGGCCCGCTGGGCCCGGTACATGAAGAAAGAACCACAAGGTTGAGGGGTAAGATGAGCATTTCGTTTTTTTCCTTAGGTAACCTGATCGATTCAGAGACTCCTTATCTTCGTGTCGTCTGCAGGAAGTACGAACTAGATCATTTCTTCCTGGCGACAGGCAATGGCAGCAGCTCCTCTCTTCCCTCCTGTCCCCTCCGGTGCTCTTTTCTTATCTTCTTCTGGTTTCCTATCGAAGAACGAAAAGTTGGACCTCTAGTCTTTCTGCTTCGCCACTTCGTTCGAAATCCAACTTAAGGTCCCAGTAAAAAGTGAGAGCTCTTCAACCAAAAAAAATTAAAAAACAGAACAATCCAAAACGGGCGCTTCTCCTTCGGCAGAAGAAATTACAGAGAAATTCGGCCTCGAAGCCGGCCTCTGGAAGGTATCAACTTAACATAGCTTTTGAATTGAACTGATAATCTGATATCATATGTTCGTTCATTCATGCGCTTCGCACAGAAGATAGACTCGTAATTTCTCTCTCTCTCTCTCTAATACGAGGAATTATTAAATAAAGATTTTGGAGGAATACTAAAATCTCAATGTCGTTTCCGAAAGACCTTTATTCTTCTTATAAAGCACAGTAAGGGAAGATAAGGGAGATGGGAGTGGAACAGTGATCAGCCTTTTTGTCCCGCTAACCGTGATACGACCTCGAAAACAGATCTTTACTAACATTATTATTTAGTTATTAATTAATTATCACAGAAAGAACGCTGGTTCGAGTCGAGTCTGAAACTCCGAGTTCGTGCAAGAATATGCCCAAGGTCTAGTCCTCTCCCAAGTCTTCGGATAGTAGCCCAGATCTGCTGMACTTAGTTTGCGCTGGCATTCCCTTTATATTATGGCGCAATTGCATTGGGTCGGTAGGCCCCATATGAGACCAGACGTGTAATGAGACTCTTGTCACAGACTGAATGCAAGTGCACAATTTCAGCGCAGACAAGTGCAGCAGTAGGGTTGTTCATAACAAGACCCAAATCGACCAAACCAACCAATCCAATCCGATCCAACCCGAATTGAGTTTCCCAACTCAAACTGAAATATACATATTATTTCAGCTTTACTATATATATATTTCAGTTTTACTATATATATATATTTCAGCTTTATTTAAGAAATATACATATTATATATATAATTTCTGATATATAAAATATCAGTTTTAATCCATCAAATCATTTTTAATTTCCAGGCATCCAGTCTTTGCTTTCTTAGACTTGAATCCTTTACAGTTCACACCAAGAGAATCATTCACAAAACCTATCCAAATCAACCAAGTCGGTTTCGGTTTCATTTCTAGGTAAACCGACCAGGTCAGGTCGGTTGGCAAAACGCCAATAAACCAACCCAACCCAACCCGTGAACAGCCTTATGCAGCAGATAGATGAATAGATGGATAGCAATAAGAAGCTTGCATGTTGAGAGGAGAGGTTAAGGCTACGTTTGGTTCGAGGGAAAAGATAGGGAAACATAGGAAAACCTATACAGGTTTGTAAAAGTTTCCCAACATTTCCCTCTCTTTCCTTACTTTTTCCTTCAAACCAAACACAGTCTAAAGGTTTGCATTTTACCTCTCTAACAGTTAGATTTCTTATAACCCACTTCCCTTGTTCAATTTCCTGTTTTAGAAGTTGGATCCAATCCATGCGGATATTCAACTCAAAAGAGGGAGGGACTTGAGTCCAAAGCACAAAGGGGATCAAGCAAAGGAGTGCTGCCTGCTGCAGAAGGTAAAGCCATCTAAGAGTTTTCTTTTTGAAGTGAACAGCGCATTTCCACTTTCAAGTGCATTCAGATTATCTGTAGCTTCCCTGAGAAGAATTATTTTGTATTCAGGTGGGGATCACAACGAATGACAATGAGATTGGAGAAAAAGTTGGGGACTTTTGTCCTGCCATATGCTGCACACAAAGCTGCATCTCCAATCAGGTTTCCTCCAGTAATATGTAAACCTCTTTGTATATGCTATGATCCTTTATGCTCTTGTTTTATCGGCAATTTTCTTGTCTAGTGAAGTTGCAGTACCCTAGATAATACTGTCACTGTCATGATAGCTCTGAATCCCAAGTGCACCCTGAGTTGCACTCCTATTAATTATTAAATTTGCATAGCTCTGAATCAAATTGCTATATACGAATAAAATGAGCATTTAGTCTGCAATCAGAATATCTCATGCATGATGAGTGAAAAGATACCTGGAACAATAAAGATTTCAATTTTATTTGTTACTGAATCACATGATCAAATATACTGTACAATGGACCAGCTATCTTCCATCTTCCTATTCTCTAGATTCTTACAGTAAGTTGGCAACATATAGTCATATACTTGGCAACCCAAGGGTGCAAATAAATCCCAAACGGCAGGGTTGCATCAGTAAAATACAAGGGAGATGGGCGAAAATGAGAGATTCTAATAAAGTACAGACTTTAGCTCTCTGATTCCATCCACTAGCAATACCCACTCACCTCTGAATAGAATTAGAAGATGGCACTTCAATAACACCAGATGGTGGAGTTTGTGGCCGTGGTGTGCTGACATCAGCCATTACAAACTCTTCAGGATGAAGGGGATCAACTGTATCCCATTCAACTCCAGCTAGTCTCAGTCAGGGAAATTCACCATTTGCTCCATGATATCCAATAAATAGAAGTGGATGGAACAGAGTAAATAATTAATTATTCAGAGGGGAAAAACAACAGGGGCAGAACTGCAAAAGAGAAAAAAAGTAGGATACGCTCAGTCTTCCACATATCTGTGATGCTAACTCCAGCATCCGATAAAAGCCAATAGTCTGCATCACTCTGCACCAAAAAAAACAACAGCCATCTAATATGTATCACAAACATCTACTGCACCCCTTGAGACAAGATCAACAAGATCGGTTACCAATGAATAGCACACCTTTTCTAATATCACTAAAAGGCATATACATGGAAAACTTCAGTTACAGAAAAAAAAAAAAAAGAAACACATAAAGACCAATGTTTTCAAAACTGGACCAGACCAGAAAAACTGGGAACCGGTTCAGTTTAACCCCAAAACCACTTTTTGGCCAAAAACCATTGATTTGATCAGCAAACCACTGATCCATGCGGTCAGACCATCAAACCATTCAGCCCAGGAATGGTTTTTGGCTGTTTATTGGGTTTTTTAATTTCTTTTAAATTTTTTTGTCAGAGTGGGCTGTCCATTCGGACCAGACGGTCAGACCATTTGACCCAGGAACCAGACCCCAGAACGGTTCCCTGTCCAGTCCAGTTTTAAAAAACTTGATAAAGACATCAAATGCATTGTAAAATTGAAAAATTCCATAAACCATTTAACTATGAAAGTTGCATCTTTATAATCATTTTGGTGCCAAGTTTTCCATCTGAAAGAAGGAAATACTACTTGTTTGGCAATTAAGTCACTTCATAAAAAAGATAATAACTGTAACGTATTAAGTGGATAATGCTTACATCAACATCTGAGGGAACAATCTTCATGATCCCACTGACAAAATCATGTGAGGCATTTGGATCCGAGTATATTCTATGAGCATCATTTCCTTGCAATTCCATCTCCCTCCCACTGTTGTCCTCAGTGACTGTTATTGCTGCTGGGTTCTCATTAGAACCTGAGCTTGATGGAAGTGGTAGGCTTTGAGGTGCTTCAACACCATTCATTTCTTCAAACTTCTCTTCAAATTGACTAAAGAGATGGCAAGAATGCATTCAAAAAACAATACTGTCAAATTTCCGTCATTTCTAATTCCCACTGGTACATTTGCCAACTTTTTTTGCAGAGGCAGCATATGCCATTTATGCCAATGGAAGGCTAAAGATTTACCAATCAAGTTTGTACCTGACAAGATAAACATCAATAGGACCCATGGTACTTCTGAGGACTATTCTATATCTCCTTTGTGGATAATCAACAGCCTAATATAACAATGGAATGTGAGACTCAGCATCAGAAACATGAAAAAAAAAATCAACTTTTCTATTCAGTCTTTTAAAGCACTCTCACCCACCTCATCAGGATCTGGGACTTCTAGGGTGGTCCCATGTGGAGCTTTAATTGCTATCAGAGTCTCATTCTGCCAGAGACAAAGTACTAAAGGTTAAAATGCTGTTTAGCCAAGCAACAGGACTTAAGAATTAAGATGATTAAATCACCAACCAATACCAGAACTACAAAACTTGGAAAATAAACCAACCTGGAAGCAGGGTAGGCCCTTGATGTCTTCTTCAGTTACAAATAACCACCTAGAAGAGACATCAAAGATAAGTTTCTGTGAGTAAAATAATACACTCTGTTGTAATGAAAAATGCATAGGTAAGAGATCTACTTTTGATTGTTTTCATCTTCACTCAGGTCCCTCAATCTTTCTTGCATTTCTCTGCAACAAGTTGAAAGTATCAGCATAACTGAAAGGCGGAAAAAGAAGCATTATCAATTTAATGTGCTTGCTTGATTAAACCATACAACCTTATACGATCATCTAATCTTTGCTCCTTCAGGGAAAGGTTTTCAACTTCTGCCTGCAACAAAAATAGAAGATAAGGTCCTGTTTTTCTGGGAAATCAGAATTTTGTAAGGCTGCATTTGTTTTCAGTGTAAATATTTATCAATGTAAAACTACATCGATGGAGTTCAACACCCAATCAGTTTAAATGAGTAAACCATTGGAACGTGTTATTATCAATGTAAATACTAAATCAATAAAATCTATATCGTATTTACATTGATTATTGATGTAAAACGCTACCATGAGTGGAGTTTACATCAATTTTCAATGTAAAACTACACTCCATCCAAACACCAACAAATACGGACCAGGACTGGAGTTTTAAACTGGTCCATATTTACACTGAAAACAAATGCAGCCTAAGAATCTAATTCATGGCCAATAGTGTTTGTACATGGTACAGCATGCACTTCATAAATCCAATGCATAGTGCTATGTTCAAACAAAAGAAAATCACAACAGCATGGTAGCCAACCCATTCAATTGTTTGAATGCCAATAAGACAACATAATCTTGTACCTGCAAATTTGCAACATCATCATCAGCTTCTCCTGGCTTTGAGACATCAAGCCCCCTAATCAAACAAACAGTCAGTCCTCAAATACACTCAAAATGACTTGTGCATCAAAAGATATCCAAGTTCTAAAGACTGCAAAAAGGTTCCATACTTCCAGCGTATCCTGTTCTTAAGCTTCTTCTCTATGAGACCAATTCCTTCCAATACATTTGTTATGTCATATATCCGCCTCTTCTGTACCTGTAAGAACAAAAACCTTCAATTGTTATAATAACATTGTGGCATACATAACGAATTTTATCAGTAAGTTAAAAAAGCAAACCTCCAATGTATCAGCAGCTTTGTTCAGGTCAAGAATACCATCTTCTGCATGTTTGATCAAATTGATGAACTTTTTAGTCAAGAGACCTGAGAGTTGCAACAAATCATCAGCTTCTTACTTCTGTTGCCTAATTTCAAACTTTAAGGCCATACAAACACTCAACAGTACAGATTCTTAGATATTGACGTTAAACAATTATTGATCCAGGGGGGATTTAGTAGACTGAAGAGCAAAACATAAAAAAAAAAAGAAATTCCATATTAACTTACCCAGAGAGCTGTCATAACGACAAGTACCAACTGGAGTCAGAGTATTGCCAGAAGGGGAACCTGCAAATTGAAACATTAATGATTTTTATCAAATATCTCTATTTTGTTAAACTTATTGTCTTTGGATGCTAGTGTAGAAGATATGGGAGCAGTAATTGTGGAAAATCAGTTCTGCCAAGACCACAAGAATTCGGGTGCAATACAATGTAATTAGAACCATGAAGATATGATCTAGATCAATTTGAGAAGATCTAATGGTGAAAACTAATGTTCAAAGAAAAACAAAATTGTGAACCCTTCTCACCTGCATTTGACACAGGGGTTTGAGGCCCGGATCTACCATGCTTTGGGACCTTTGATTTGCTGTATACCCTTCCCCCTTTTCCTGATACAGGCGTCCGGAGGGGGCTGTTAACCACTTCAGTGTATCCAGGACTGGTAGTCCACTCACTAGATTCACCTTCACAGTCTTCTGCTTCACTCTTCCGCTTCAGTGGCTGAGCAACACCATTTACATAATTTTCAATAAGCAACCTGTGGGAGTAGATAACTGCAGCAATAACTTGAAGGGTATTTCATAGATATATCCATTAATCCACTATAACAAATAATCAAAATGGGATATAAATGTCAATTGTGCACTCAAGTATCATGATGTCTTGTTCTAAGAGAAAAGTATTAAAAAATGAGAGTACACAACTAAAAGAAAGAACCCAGGGGATTCTCTGCACTTCAATTGACAATAGTAACATATAGGGGCAGACCTATGTAGAAGTCAGTGGGGGCAATTTTGAAAAACTTTTGTGGTTAAGCAAAGATTCAATTTTTTTACAATTGCTAGGCGGAATACATTAGGCAATGCTATGTGCTGAAACACCTTTAAGTTTCTATTCAATTGTGATTGAAAGTCACCTGAGGCAACAAATATGTGTCAAATATATGAACACCAATTCACCATTACTTGTAGTTCTCAAGGTATGATATGTTACAGTATTCGTTCTATCAGAATAATTCATCACTCTTATGGTCAAGGAAACAAATACTTAATATCAAAACTGTCAAGTTTATCAAGGTGCAAAGAATATGGGCAACAAATGCATGATGCATGTCAAAAATATCAGCACTGCTCATAGTTCTGAAAGCCTATTTTTCTATAATACAACTAGAGTGTTTGCAACTTAGTTTATCAGAACAAGTAATTCTCTCTTATGCACAAGGAAAGATCATCATTCCTTAATAACAAAATCTGTCAAGTTTCTCCTAAAAGGCCATGCTACAGGAACAAACTCATAGTTGATCCATTTTTTATCAGAAAAAAAGATATCTTATTAAATATATTAGTTGGAGAAAACTGAATGGTACAACAGCGGTTTCAGCCCTCCAAAAGACATTAGCCACCCTCCATCAATTTTACGATAGCATCCAAAGTTGACTGCTGTCTATAGACCCCTTGCTTTGCTAAAGTGTCAGCCATCCCATTCGCGGTCCTTATCCAACTGAAGGTAACATTCCACTCCTGTGACAGTTTCTCTATTTCTCTCAAGGCATGCCTATAGGTCCATGACACTTGGTTCTTATTTCCAGCCCAAGAAACAACCAGTTCTGAGTCTACTTCTACTTCCAAATGTTGGAAACTCGATTGCTTTGCGAGTCATAAACCTTGAAGCAGCACCATTAGTTCAGCCTTTAATGAGTCTCCCACTATTAAAGGTCCTGAAAACATGGCCAATACCCTGTCTGCACCATCTCTGAAGACACCTCCAACCCCTGCCAAACTAGAACTTCCCATGGAACTTCCATCAAAATTTAACTTGATTCTGTTAGCAGTTGGGGGATTCCACTCCACAACCACCTTTTCCTTTTCTTTAGCAGATTGTGCCACTTTATTCCACGCCCTCCAAATGTCATCCGCTGAATAGCCTTGGAAAGTATCAAGTGTCTTTAGCCAATGTACAGCTTTGATTTTTATGGCCTCAAAGATTTCCTCTTTTGAACTACTCTTCTCACTGAAGATCCTCCCATTCTTTTCCTCCCAAATAGCCCACACCACTACTGCCCTCACTGCTTTCCACATAATTCTTCCTCTCTTTTTTGGCTTAGGAAGCTTGGACTGAAAAGGCTAGCTACATCCTTTGGGGAGTGCCAGCTGCAACAAAAAAGAGAACTGCAGAGTTCCCAAATACAAAGCACAAAAGAGCAAGATAGCAATAAATGAGATAAGGATTCACCGCTTGCAGAGCAAAGGAAGCACATATGAGGCAAAAGGCATCTGTTTGGCCTTCTCTTTTGAAGCATATCACAAGTGTTTACCTTGCTAAGATAGACTTCTCAAACACAAGGCTTGAATTTTGGGAGGAATAGGCTTGCTCCGAATCTCTTTCATCAAGTTCTCCCCCAATGTAGCACGCTGCAAGAGGGCATTGAAAAAGGAAACGCAAGTAAACACACCATTTGAAGGAGATCAAACTCTAGTGTCCTCCACTGATGGATCCAGAAAAACTAAATTGAAGTTATCCATCAAACAAATGAGAGCTTCACATTCCCTATCCCTCAATCCCCTTCTATATCCAAAATCCCAAAATGCCCCAAAAGGAGAAAAAAAGCAAACTTGAGAGGAGTATCTGTTAGCTAAAGATCTTCCCAAAAGAAGACTTGGGTTTCACATCCACATAAAAACGAGTGCAGCTAATAAAAGTTGAATATACCTGTTGTATTGATTTCCTAGAAGAAAGGAAAGTTACAACAGAGATTATCTTTGCATCCCAACCATTATTCAACAACCCATGAATGCTCACAATTGCCTTATGCCAAAACCTTTCCCTTTTCATTGGAAACCTCCAAAAGCCATTTACTTAAGAGTATTGTATTTTTGCACATTAAGTTCACTAACCCAAGCCCTCCCCACCCCTTAGACTTACTTGCTCCTACTTCACTAAATGGTCCCCCTTCCCGTCCCTTGGCTCCTGAAGGAAATCCCTCATGATTTTCTTTAGCTGAACCACTATCCTAGTTGGAATCCTAAAAGTGGGGAGAAAATATATAGGTAAGTTGGCCAGTATTGCCCTAATCAAAGTTATTCTCCCACCCACCAAAATGTAATTCATCTTCCAAAGTGCTAGCTTTTTAGTAAATCTCTTGAGTACCAGATTCCAAAAACTTTTTACTTTTTGTGTTTCCCCTAATGGTAGTCCAAGATAATCCAGAGGCCAATTCTTTACCTCACACCCTAACATCTAATATTGGACTTATCTCTTCCCCATCCACATTGATTCTCACCACACAACTCTTTCCCAAATTCACCCTCAAATTGGAAAGTCTCAAATGCAATGATGAGTTACTTTAGATTCCTCAAATTACTTTCATTGCCATTCATAGATAGAACAAGATTACATCATTTGCAAACTATAAGAGGGTGACCACCACCTCATTTCTTCCTACCCTCCAACCTCTAATCAATCTATCCTGATCAGCCTTAACTATAATCCTACTTAACACATCTGCTATCAAGGTGAAGAGGAAGGAAGTTAAAGGATCTCCTTGCCTCAACCCTCGCTTTGCTGGAAATAAGTCTCCAGCCACTCCATTTATCAAAATTGAGTAGTATACTGAGCTCAAGCAACCTTTTATCCACTTCCTCCACCTAGCACCCAAACCAGTCTTCTCTAAAATTTCAAGGAGAAAAGACCAATCCACTAGATCATAGACCTTCTCCTAAGTCCAACTTGCAAACTAAACCCTTTCCTCTCCTTGATCTCTTCAATGCTACACACTCATTAGCCACCAAGATTTGATCAATGATCTATCTCCCTTCAATGAAAACAACTTGGAACTGTGAAATCACTAAAGGCAGCACCTATTTAAATCTTCTAACAAAAACCTTTGCTATTATCTTGTAGAGACTCCCCAACAGGCTTATGGGGCTAAAATCCTTTGGTACTCTAGCTTCTTTCTTCTTGGGGATCAAAGCAATAAAGGTTAAATATGCTACTTCAGAGATTTTCTCATCATTAAAAAACTCATTGCAAACTTCCATTAAGTCATCCTTTATGATTTCCCAACAATCCTGATAAAAAGCTATAGAGAAACAATCTAGCCCCAAGGCTTTGGATCTGTCCATCGAGAACACAGCTTCCTTTATATCCTCAATTGCAAATACATTCTCCAAGCCCACAAAGAAGGCCTTTGGCACCCTGTCCTAAGCTAAGAATGGGAATTCAGAGCTCCTCATCCCAAAGGTGGTGAAAATGGCCTTAAAATGATCCACAAAAACTTTGACCATCTCCTCCTCTCTGGTTACCTCTTGACCATGCACAACACAGACAGATATTAGATTCTTTTAAAATGCTTTAAATGACCACCTCACTATAAAATAGAGGCAGGTCAGTAAAAGCATGTAATGTTTTTGTCATCTGGCATTCTTGCCAAAAGTTGTTAAACCCTGCTTGCTTGTTGCTTCATTGGAACAAAAGCTTGAAGTGCCAGTGTACCAAATGAGGAACCAAGAAATTCCATCATGTTTAACCAACAATGCAAAAATTGATGAAACAACAAAGCATCATATGATTATGGGATATTCCCTAGTTGACTCAAATAAAATATCTCTCACAATTATACAAGTTATTAACACCATTCATCTAATAGTTCTTAGCATTCAGATGGTAATTGGAAGGAAATGTGAGTATGAGATAACCACAACTCGAGAGAAATAAAAGCAAGGGTTCAACATGAACAACTAGTAATAAGTGACATCTCAAAAGTGATTTGCAACATAGAGGATGTCATTCTTCAAATTTTCTCTGATAGGATAATTGCAAAGTTTAATAATAATTAAATTAAGGCAATAACCATTATGCTAAGGAATCCCTTTTTATCAATTTATTATCATTTATCGAGGAACCTTTGCTAATAGCTTCAAAGAGATGAATCTTTGAAGTTGGCTATCAAGCGTGAGAACATTGTATGAGCCTAAGTCACTTTGTGGAAAACAAATGCCAAGGTTAGAACAATATCCGGTCCACACCTTCCAAGACCCTAGACAATTAGGACCAACATTGGGTAATGGACTTTTTTATCTTTGAAATTGCTTTTACAAAACTTTTTTTCAATATTAATAATCTTTCCTTTTTTTCAAGGGGCCACACAACAGGGGTAGCCCATCCCCCAAACCCACAAACCCCCTGATCTAGGTGTAGCATGCAGGCAAGATTCAACCCCAAATCTCTGCTACAACCAATAAGAGACCTTACCAACCAGCTGGTCGGTACATTGCAACAACTAACCTTTCACTTAAGCAAACTAAAAAGCCCAAGCCATCAGTGACAATTGAGTATATCCTTCAAAAAGACATAGAAAAGCTACACATTTCATAGGTTGGCTAAGGGAGGTTTCTAAAACTAGGCTGCAGGGAAGACCTAGTTAACTCAGCAATGAATTTTAGGGACACAAGTGATAACTTCCATGACCTTCGATGGAATCAAGATGGAGTGGAAGTGGATGCTAAATCAAAAGATTCAATTAAACACTAGTTCACAAAATGCTGGACGGTTAAGCAATTGGAAGCATATTTATGTCACACATAAATTTTTACAAGTTCAACCATCAACAAGCCTTATCCAACTAATTATAAAAATTCACATATGTCCATAGTACCAAAGCTTCAAATTACTTACCACACAAATAATAAAAAAAAAGAAATTTGACATTTAACTCATAAGCAAAAATTGAAAACAGAGACAAACTACCACAAAAATGGCAAAATTGAAAACTATTGGTCTCCATAACTCAAACAGACCACATTTGGAAGCAAGGAAGAATTCCAAGGAAATGCATTTTCAGATGCAAGTATCCAACTATATAGTATATGCCATGCCAACATATATTCAGTGCTACTACAGTAGTAGACTTTAATCAATTAAACAATAGGGAGGTTGCTCAAATATCCACAAGTGTCCAGGTTCCATTATGCAGTTGCATTTGCATTTGCACCACTCAAATTTCTTGTATTTTGCACTTAGATAGTTGTAAATTCTAGCCTAAGCACATTTACAAACATCAAATTATTTAGAAATGTGCTCACAAATCTTGCATCTTCATGTAACTACTTTAACATCAACAATCTTCAAATGATTCAGTTCTGATCATTATAAGAGGACTGATTTTATCCCCACGACCCCAAAATACAAGGCCCATGTGGCCAAGCTCAAGCCTAGAATTCTGAGCTAAGATGACCATAGGTTGGGGAAACCAATCAGATCTCATTTAAACTAATGATGACATTGAAACCAATATTGCATGGACCATTCTAAACAGGTGAAATATCAATATGAACAACAAATAAAAAAAAATCTGTATACTACAAGCATACAGATCCAACATCTGGCAAGTCCTTGAGCAACAAGTTTTAATTTTTTATGACATTTTAATAACCAATTCTCCAGCATAAACTATCACTTAGCATATATTACTACTGGAACTAACCCTGTCTTTTAGCACAAATATTTCCAGGTGGCAAAGACACGCTGTTAAATGTACTTATGACATTTTATATGGGTATAAAAATGAAAAGTTCATAAAACAGACCATTGTTGAACAACATGTGATTTTCTTACTAATGCCCCTGAATCCATGTTCTTTCATCTCTAGTGTCAAACTCCTAAACAAATTGAATTTCAGTTCCTTTGTTAGTATCCATGTAATAATGCTTAAAACTAATAAAGGGCAGTTGCAAGGAGCAAAGAGAAGGGACTTTGGAGTCAAAAGTTGTTCAATTCCCAAGTCTTGCAATGCTATCCGAACGTTGCTAGAATGTTAGTCCTAGTCTAAAGAAATCTCAACACATCAAGATGATGGACCAATAAAATAACTAGCAGAACATCCTGTAGCAATGATGACATGTAGAGGCTATAAAACAACACTAAGAAGACAAATATCGATATCCAAATTGAAAACCTTGGTCAAACAAATAGCTAAATCTTCTTTCATCAGTAACAAAGAATATGTTATTTTTTATAGTTAACAGTTAATTTTATTGAGTTGGAAAAATAATGATTAATGTACACAATGTCATGGCAGTCCCAAAAGAAGGTACCATCAATCACTAGAACCATACAACTTCGTTTCATATTTATACATCCCCCAAAGCTTCCCCACATTAGCTGGTTCTGTTTATATTCTTCCCCAAAATAAATATATTATATTCATTTCAGTAAACAAGGCAAATGAATACCTAAATCTACCAAAACCATTGTACATAAATATAGTTTAGCTAAAAGTGGTTCAAAATATCAGAGTTGTTCTTGTGTATTAGGTGCCAGTATAGTGGACTCACCTATTTGGCAACTTAGTTGCTAACAATGCTTGGTTAGGCCATTCATGATTTATTCTCTGCTTGGACGCACGTCTAGGATGCCTTTCCTTGACCACTGTCATTTCCCCACCTTGCTTCTCCTTTCTTAATGTTATTGATTAGAGGAAAGACTTTCTAGAAGCTAGATGCTCATAAAAAATCAAGCCTCCTCACACCAGGTGAATTGGCCTCAGTGTCAATGTCTTACCCAGAATGAAGGCCTTGCAAATTATCAAATCTTTTTCAAGTTTTATAGAATGTGGATTCCAGTAAAATTTGAACAGATGCCATTTTCCGATTTTTCCAAAATGCCAAGTCTCACAAGGAAAATTTCCGGTTGCCTTTGGAGATGAAAAACGGCTATTCAAATGTAATGGGATTGGCAAGAGAAAGCAAAGAAACTCTGAGAAGATAAACTGATGCCAGCACTCAGTTAAGTAAGTTAGCTATGCTGTGGCTAGCAATCAGCCAATCCATATCAAGCAATATCAATGAGCTAATTTGATTTCCTTCTTTTACTAAAATATACATGCAGATCTCTTGCACTTCAAGTACTCATCTCCATCCTTAGAGGTGGGGTGATAAGCCTGTAGTCTTCATCCATGTAAATTTTTAATTGGGGCTGTACTGCATCTTAAAATAAAAAGGAAAAACTAAATGGGACATCAAGGTAAGAGTAACATTTACAAGAGAACACTATTGGTTACAGGAACATGATTCAACCAAGAGCAGCAGCAAGCAGACCATCTCCTTGAAAAGCCTAAGGTAGAAAAGCAAGGTCAATCTAAAGGCAGAAGCTTTAAGAGAACAGCATTACCCGTCGCCTTCATTATTGCCTGAGTTGGTATGGTATTCCCCTTTAGGAGGAAGCAAGAAAGCTTTGAAAAGCTAGTCACTAGTAAATAAAGCAAACAACTAGAGAGTGTACTCTAAAAGAGAAAGTTGAAACAGCTAAACACTGAAAAACAATTATTCCCCTTTTCTCACTAAAAAAAAAAAACACTCAAACTAATGCCTTTCAACCAGGAAAAGTGCAAATTCAGTATAATGCATTCAAAACAATCAGTCAATCACTAACTTGCGATTATCCATTAAAAAAAAAAAAATCAACTTGCAAACTCTCTTGTAGTACAAATATCAATTACTGCTCTATGGATCCCAATCACCATAATCTTCTCACATAAATTACCACGAAACACATGGATCAAGAAGAGCATAACTAAAAATAGTTGAAACAAAGCAGCTATTAACAAACTCTTCCAAAAGATATAAGAAGTAAGCGAATTGTGACAAAAAAATAAAATGAAATAAGCCCAGTAGCAAAAGATTCCATATAATCGGACCACCTTACTTCCCTTCCAGCATGTTATACAGAAGAAATGTAAGATCGAAACTCCAAGTATACGACTACAAACTAACTGCAATAATAGCAGGAAAAAAGCAATGCAAGCCTGCAATTTTAACAACGACAGATACCATAAACTAACTAAAAGCACTAACAGAAACCGATCTTAGTAGAATTCTCATCAAACAGCAATCAGAGCCCAGAAAGAAACCAATAACAAACCAAAACCGCAAACTATCCAAACAAACTCACCGGAGATTTAACAACTATAGCTTCGGCTTCCTCATTGGCAACTCTACGATTATCTCCGGAGAACCGGTGATAGTCATCAGGAGGAACAAACGGCGGCTTCGTCGATGAGAACGGAAGGTGACGTTTCAGAGGTTGCAGGATCTGCCCCGACGGCTGCGCCGAGCGATTGGAAGCTCGGGCGCCAGACATGAAATACCGCCAAAAAATATTACAAAAAAGAAGGAAGGACTTTTTTCCGATTCTGCGAAGGATGAATCAATCAAACCCTCTCTGGTGCGTTTTCAACGCCGATTTCGAGAGACTGGATCGAGAGGTCTCGGAGGCACGCTTCACTACTCAAACGATCGACGGGGAAAGATTGAGGGAAATTAGGGCAGGAATTGGAGAGTTTGAAGAGGCGGAAAGGAGGGAGAATGGGATCTGAGTTTTGGGGGGAAGAGAGAAAGAGAGAGAGGAAGAGAGAGGGGGGTTAAAAAAGCGGGGAGAGCAGAAAACGAGGGAAGGAGGGAATTTAGTTCGGATAGATATGGAGGGAAGCAGATAGAAAGAAAAAAAATTAAAATTAAAAGAAAATTAGAAAAACAAAAAAAAAAAATAGAAAATTAGTAGTTAGATACACACGCGTTCGAGTAGGAAATGGGAGTGTCTGGCGTGCAAAAGGTTTTTTTTATTTTCTAGAAAAAATATTTTTGATATTATTTTATTTTATAGATATTTAATAAATAAATAAAACGGTTCGAAGCGGCGATGCGCGCCTTTTGTTGGCATATCTAACTCGCGATCTTTTGGCGCGCATTTTGCTAACTCCAACCCGGCAACCCGCTGTCCTCTCTGTCTCTCTCTCTCCCACCAAACCCTAAACACGCAGCAGAGCGCAGAGCAGACACTCCACTTATGAGGGCTCTGTTTGGGCGTTGGTGGTTCTTCACTCTCCATTTGTTGGTAACGTGGCATGCTGTGGTTATGGATGATGATGATGATAATGCTAAGTGCGTTTCAGAATTTTTGGTGGGGACCACAGTTGGTGACATGAAAGAAGACGAGGAAGAAGGGAGTGTTGTGGTATTTCTTGTGTCTTTGTGTGGGTTGTGGATTGTGGATTGTGGATTGTGGATTGTGGAATGGAATCCAAGTGAGGCCTACTCTTTTGGTATGAGTTACTTTCAGCCCATTTGATTATGTTCTAAATAATGCATGATGGAAGCATGTGGAGAACTTACCGTTATTGGATCTTTGTTGGTCTCTTAAGGAGTGTTGTATGATTTGGATCAGATCACACGGTTGAACCGTTCATTTAAAGTGTGTTTGATAATATAGTTGGTTTTGTTTTCGAAAACAAAAATAATTTTATTGTCGGGAAAAACAATGTAATTTTGCTGATGTGGTGGTCGTTTGTTCTCAAAACAAAAACATGTTGTTGGACACTCCCTTAGGTTGTATTTGGTTTGAAGGAAAAGGTAGAAAATGGCAGAAAACCCTATACAAGTTTTATACATGTTTTCCCTCTTTTTCTTTTCTTTCCCTACCTTTTCCTTTCAAACCAAACATGGCCTTAATGACCCAATGACCTTTTCAGATTCTAGTTAAATGACAATTTTATCAATTGAATAGACTAACCATCCAATTAACTTGTAAAACTGTGACTAGTAATCATTGCAGTCCAATTCTTGCAACATTGAATTAAAGTAGCATTGTTATACTTGAACCAGATTTGATCTTCTCAATGAATCGTTCAACTTAAGGCTCTGTTTGGAAAGAGTAAAATACAAATATGTACTTGTGTTTATACTCCTTCCAAATTGAGCCTAAAAGTTCAAGTTGTTATGTGGGATCCTTAAATAGGGTTTTATTCTCTAACAAGCCCTCCAATTCAAAAGCCATTAGGCTTAAAACATGGACAAGCGCAAGCTATATATATATATATATATTCAAGAGGTTTGAACCTTGGCCATTTGCTTTAAAAACTAAATCTCTCAATCATCCATCATGTTAAAGTATAATAAAATTTGTAAAGCATATTATACATAAAATTTATAATATATATACATGTATGCCATGTCAACATAGCTCGACCTTCGATTTGACCCTGATTGAACATCTATTTCATGCACCTCTTCCTTTTCTAGTTCTATGCCTAATTTAGCTTCTAAACATTGCAAATAGTTAGATTAAACTTTTCTTATTTTATGTAAACATATATTACATTTGAAAAAGAAAAAACTTATATTTCATGTGTAATAAGGAATCATTTTGCTAAACACACTACCAAATTTCATCAAACGATGTATACTCAACTTTTATATAAGCTTTTATTTTACTCATTTTACATTAAATTAGAAGGACATTTAATCTATATCAATAACATTTAATGAAACCTAATCCAAATCCCCTTTGTTTAAATGTATTGTTGATATTCATTACCTAATAATAAGAAAAATATAATGAACAATATTGATCTTAAATTGTGACATGCTAGTATAACTTTTAAAACAAATGACTCGTTGAGACCTAACTAAAATCATTGTTGAATCCCTATTTGTAGCCTATTCTTACCAACCCAGCCGTTGTAATTAGGAATGACAATGTTTATATGAGCATAAATTGCATAGTTTGCCCAATTCTGACCTACATCAAGTTTGCATGTAATGTAGGAGACCAGATATAATGCATTTAATAAATATATATAGTATGTATTTTGTGATTCTAAATATAAATATAAATTTAATTAGATCAAGTTTTTAAGTGAAAAATTAACTTTATTAGTTAGGTAAGCTTGGATATGATTAGCTTACCCCATACCATGATCACCAGTGGTTCTAATTAATTAGGTTAGTGTTTGGATATGATTAGTTAATTCCATATATTATCTAGTTGTTTTGTTCAAAGAGGTAACATCACGTTAAAAATTAACTCTATTTTTTATGCAAAAGTAACCAATATATTGTTTAGTTGTTGTTTTTCAACCCACATTCTATATAAAACGATAGTTTATTTTCCCTATCCTCAAATTATGTGGTGTGATAATATCAATGCTACATGCCTAGCATTAAATCCTATTTTACATAGTCGTACCAAACATGTTCACGTGGACTTTCACTTGATTAAAGAATGGTTGCTCAATGATTTATTAAAGTTCAACATAACCATACCAATAATCAAACATGTTATTTGGTTAGTTGGTTTTCGCTTTTTGTAGTATATTTTTTCAATGAATGAAATTAATTAAATCTTGATAGTTCTCATTGTCCTCATAATCCAAATTTAAAACAATTCATTATCGAAAAGCATACTTACACCCATTATCTTTAGAATCCAAATTTAAATTACTTCACTATCATTCTCCCATGAGATTGTTTTGTGAAATACCCAAAATGCTGAACTCTTTGATTCTTATGTACGTAAATATATACCATGTAGCCATAACTAATGTTGCCTTGTCTTCAATTATATTTTTCTATTAGGCCTCATTCCATAGGTAACAAAGCAAAACGATTTGATATTCTATATGGTATATTGTTGGATCTTGAAAAGTAATATCTTGTTACTTATAGTTAACTACTTCGCATATAGATTTCTTAGTAGTTAAGTATATTGTCCATAGTAGTTGATTGCTACGTTTTAATAGTCGACTGTTAGCTATTGTATGTTCTTAGTAGTCAACTACTACAGAAAGAGATTTCTCTGTATTCGACTACTGCATTGGCAGGACTCAAGAAAAAAATAACAATAAGGTAGAAATAACAATGAAACATTAAGGCAACAAAAGATCAGCACCTAACATCAAATTTTTAACGTAGAAAATCTCTCCAACATGAAGAGTAAAAATCATGGGGCACTAACCCAAAGATCTTCCATTATCAACAAAATAATGGATTAAAACTTCTATAGTCCAACTACATGATAACAAATTCAAGAGGCAATAACCTCTTTTGGAATACACATAACAATTATCAAACAAGTAGTGTTTCAATCAACAAAACACGAGAAACATCTCACCAAACAAGCTGCCCTAGTCATCTCCAAAACCATTATTGAAGAGCCAAAAAGACCCACCAAAATCCTTGGTGAAAAAGAGTAATACAAAAGTCACAACAGTTAATCGAAGTGTTATTACTCATGTACCAAGGAGCTTGAATATCTTATATAATATTGTTTTCCTATAAAAAGAGAAATTATCTTTTCCCACTATGTTTTTTTTTATTCTCAAAGGAGGATACCAATTTGAGTGTCTAGAATACCAACAGACTCTCTATCTCAGACAAAAACGAGGCTTATTGATAAAGCCAAAAGAATAGTTGAGACTAAAGAGTGGGTCCTACCATCCACTAACATGAACCAAGACAAGAGAACTTTTGTCTCATTCTCATTAATGAGAGAACAAGAGTCTTAACATTTTTTTGTCTTTCTTCTGACTTTCTCAAATTACGTATTGGGCAAGAATTACAAAGAAAAAAAAGGATGTCCATTTTAGTAAGGGACTTTTGTTGATCTGATTTTTTATTTCCTTTTTTCCTTGTGTGTGCGCATGTGTGCAGAGGATTTTCTATTTGGTAGAAGTATGTTGCAAGCATCAGTTCCCAAAAACATATTACCAGATTTTTAAGTTGTCCACTGTTCTACACATTTTCTCGTGTTTCTTTTCTCCAAATTTCTATAGTTTATTTGTATATCTATGCTCATTTTCTCTCATTTTAGGCCAAAGATAAGTAGAGTGAAAGGTTAAGTGAGGGGGAGGGGGAAGAGAGAGAGAGTAAAGGGGATAGAGAGCAATTATGGAGGGAGAGTGGAGGGGGAGAGAGAGGGAATGAAAGAGAAGGGAGAGGGTGAGGATAGTGGAGGGAGAAAGGGAGGGTTTTGCTTAATTGGGCCCAAGAAACTAAGAAGAACATTGTTGTTATTTATCTCTCACCACTCCACCAAACTCCTTAAGCCTGAAGGTTGCATAGAGTCCATCAATCAAAACTAGGTTTTGATTTGTCTAAATCAGTAGGCTTCCATTCTTAATGCTTCATTGATTTCTAACTTGGTAATCTTAACAACTCATCCATGGCTAGACCCTTAAATTCACTATACACTAATCCATGTTTTTTAATGTAATATCTATAAATGAACTAGCCTCTAGTTCTTTGTTTTTAAAAAAAAAAAATCATAGAATTCCTGCCCCCACAAACCCCATAAAATCAATTGCCCTTAAAACCCACATGTAATGTACATATACTGATGTCTATTGGGCTCTATAACCTAAACCCCTCTAAGTTATTTGGTATAGAAGTTGTGGTGGTGGATTTTCTATTTTGTCTAGTTCTCAGGCACTCTATCATGCATGCATGATATGCTAGCAATTATTGCATTTTCTTCTCTCCTAACTTCAAAATTGAGATCTACTATGGATATGCTCCTATACAAAAACCTTTTCGTCAAACTTGATGTGCTCTTTGAAATAGACTCTTTGAATCTTAAATGGACAAAGTGAAATCAATATAAAATTCCATAATAAACCACAAATCAAATGAGAA